ACTGGCTTTGTCGTCTGTTCGGTCGTTTGGTACTGTCGGAGAATGTACCACGTTGCAGATGGCCCGAAGAGGAAGATCGGCCACGCCAAGGGTTTCGAGCCAGTCGAGAACAAGCATTTTGAGCTTCGCCTTTGTGATGTAACACAGCGTGTTGAACGTGGCGTGCCGGAAGGAGACCGAGCAGTGCAGCTGCCCAGTTAGCTACACGTGACCACCACAGGCGCTGGTGGCAGATTGGATGATTGGTTCGTACGGTGGCTTGCCAAGGGATCGCCAGAGATCCTCTTAGATGATCGTGATGTCCGACGCAGTGTCCAACTGCAATCGGACGGACTGACCATTGATCAAAACGTCGACGAACTTTCTCCGATCCGCAGCGTTGATTTGGAACGTGGCCAGCAGGCTCAGAGAGCTGCCAACCGGACCAGGTTTGGGTGTGCGTCTGGGTCGGGACCTCTTCTTTTGATCGCAAGTGGGGGCCAGGCCAGTTTTGACCCCGCAACAGAAACTGGTGTTCTAAAACTCCAGAGTAGATGACTGAAGCAGTTTTGTTGATACTTGAAAATTCACGGTTGTGTGGGTATATTCTGCTTTCCGTCGTATAGCCTCTGAAACAAATGCCAACTTTTATAATTTCATGGTTGCGGAGTCCAATTGTGAGTTCCGTCAAAAGCTTGTTGATGAAAAAGTAATCATTTTGGGCACATGATTCAGTTTAAGCGGTTTGGTTAATGTTCCGTATCTAGTGGGTTATGGGATATGGTTGCTTTTGGTATTTTTCCCAACGGATGTTTTAATCTCCATACTCCTAACCCAATCAGTGTTCACAATTGCCACACTACTCTTACATCTATGTTTGAAGCAACAGACAAGTTGTTACTGCTCACCCACGCATCTACAACTCACATGATATCCCATCATACCTATTCTCACAGCAACAACACAGAGATCGCGAACGTCACTTAACTGCGTATTGTTGGTTTTCTGATATATGCAAAGCCGATAAGCCGAAGTGTACTCTATATCGGTTTGTGCGCAACTCAGTGACATGCAAGTGGTCGCGTGAGATAAAGATCGACCCTCGCTTCACTCGCTGTGGTCATTTTAGTTCTCTACACAAATTCTTGTGTTTGCGCGCTTTCGAACCCTTTCGACAAGCGCAACTCAGTGTTTCCCACCTCTTGGAACTAACTTGTGTAAATCAGACAGTTACTTTCGTTCTCAGTTTAGGTAAATTTTGTGCCGAGTTCCGCTTGTAAAATCCCAACACTCTCCAGCTTTCCGAGAATATGTTTGGTCACATTCGGTGGAAATAGCTGAAGCTTCTCAAACTACCCTGCAACCATTCCTACAGAAGACAGGATAACAAAGCTATGAGACATTTCGCATGGTTCACCCACTAAGCCTTATACGCCCTGTGCGCATCGTTGTGTAACGGGTCTTCGTGTGCTTGTGTGCGCACTGCTGGATCAGCCATCGGTGTGCGACGGCAAGGAATAGAAGCGCTGAGACAGCCACCTTTCTCGGCAAAGTGACTTTGACGGCGGATCAATCAATCCAGATTCCTGTCTAGGTTAACCATCCAAATTTGACTTGCCATGCTAAGCGCTACTAACCGAGCCGCGGTGCTTAAATTCGCCTGTGGAACATACAATGGTCAAAATAGAGCTTTTCTATGGAAAGTGCTCAACCAACTTTCAAGAGAAATACGGTAAAATCAAACCAAGCGCGTGCATGCTGAGAAGCTAAGCAGTTTCGGTACGAATTGTAATACTGTCCTAGTGGTTAAAACCGTAATTGCACTGTCTCAGAAGTTTGAAGGGCTTGCAGACGTAGTTGAGAATACAATGGGCACCAAAACAGCTTCCGCGGAAACAAGAATTGCAGAATGTCTGGCAAAGACCGCTCCACGGAACTCCAACATAACGCAACACAAAAACATCTAATGCTACACCAAGATCGTTACTCCTGCAAACAATGCCAATATACCAAACCACCTTTCCGAACAATTCACTCCCAGCCAATTTACAACAATATTCCAAAACTAATTCCTCCCAGCAGGTGTTTACAAAACCCAGGAACATGCTAATAGCAATGACAGCTGGGATGTCGTTGCATCGCAGAGCACTTTAAAATCAGCAGGTGCTATATCTACTACCATACACTTAACCAATGGGAACGGCAATTTTACAACGAAGCGTTACAAATCGCTTGATCACCCAAGCACGGTCCATACTCTCAAGATTGATGTCAAATAACTAAATAACTAAATTGTATATTCTTCGACGATGCGAGAAGCTGTTCCCTAATAGGTAGAGAACAAATAATGGTACAACTTTTCCATGACATTTCATTAATACATATTCAGAGATAAACGTGGGTGCAATTGCAATTTAGGTAACAGAGTAATCAGAATCGTTCTGCTATTTTTTCCTGCCATTGAATCAAGATTCTTCACCATCATGACAGATATTTGGGCCGAACAAAAATGTGGGGTGAGGGGCACTTGTCTGAAATGTTATGTGTATGTGTTGCAGAAATTTATTCAGGCACCATGGAAACGGTTTTCAAATGCAATATCTAGGGACTGTGATGTCCCCAACAACTTAATCACGTTTTAAACGGTTAAATGCTTACTACTCTCAAGGTTACAATTGCAAAGTGTATAGCATGTTCTGATATCGCTTAGACGTTTGTTCCAAATCTTTGATTAATGGGTTAGAAAGAAACGTTTTCTGTTTCTCCTAGTGAATTTTGGAATCATGATCTTTAACTCTACATTACGTATTGGACATCTGCTGTTTAAAAATATGTGAACATTGTTTTCAAGACTGCGAATATAATAACGCATGATTCTGTAAAGATAACTTAGGTTCAGTTTCATTATCCGAGGCCAAACTGGGTCAAATCCAAGATTATCGCATCGTTCTCTGTCTGTCAACTTTGAGGAATATCCACATGACTTTTCGTGATGCTTCTGTGGACCCTCTCAAGAGCGTGCTGGTCAGATTTCCGCAGATTAGACTGCACCATTGAACAGTATTCCATACACGGCAATACATATGTTTTGTAAAGCGACGTGCGGGATTCCGTGAGGTAAAAAGTATGGCAGATATAACCGATGGTCTCCATGGCTTTCAAAACTTGAAAGTCTCAGTGTTCAGAAAAGTTAAACGTGACTGAATATCGCACGCCCATATCGCGAACTGCCCTGTGTTGCGAGATATATGCTCCTTGTAATAATAAACTGTCTGGCGGTACTTGTCATTTGTACGACAAAACATTACACTTGCCCGCGGCAAATGACCTCTGCCACAGTTGGCACCAGGAGTTAAGGGCAGATAGGTCATCCTGAATAAGGCGTACGGCTTCCCGAGTATTTGTACGTGGTTGTGAGTAGACAACTTTATTTTATCAGCAAAAGTAAGTGCAACACCATTTCTTATTCGCTGGAATATAGCGTTAATATAAATCAGAAAAGAAGTGGGCCAAGAACACTCCCTTGAATCACTCCACTTGTGATTGCTTTCGGTTTAGAAAAAATTCGCCTATGCGCACCACCTGCTATCTACCAATTAGATTTGAAGAAAACCAAGAGAACATCGGTTCTCCAATGCCTCTAGCCTTCAGTTTGTTTAGTAACCTTTTGTGAGGCACTCTATCAGGCATTTTGCATATCCAGAAACAAGATAACGACGCTGTTTCCGTTGTCAATGACAGCCATTGTGTGGTTTAAAAAGTCAGTCTGGCATGTTGCGCAGGATCGACCTTGCATGAAGCCGTGGTGCGAATTGCTGATAATGTTAGCTTGATTCAAGAATATAAATATATCATCTTTCACTGTCCTTTGCATTATTCTAGATCCGATGGGTGTGTTATTGATGGGACGAAAGCATTTAACATCGTGGGCAGCGCCATTTATAAATCGCGGGATAGCGACAGACGTTTTCCATTGAGTAGGGTATACTCCTTTGTTAAAAGAGATCGTAAAGATGTTGAGCAAAAACAGAAGGAAGTCACTACTACTGCTTTTTATTAAACAAGTGGGGATCCCATCAGGACCTGCGCACGTTGAGGAGTATAAGCGAGAGACTTGAACAGTGATTTTCGCTATAGTGAATTCCACTGCGCATAGACCTTCATTGTTGTGCAGCATGATAAGTGTTGGTGTGTCTGATGATTTATTGATCATTGATTCGGCAAAATAAGCATTGAGAGCTTCGCAGATATCACCTGGTGTGTCGTTTTATGTTCCATCAGGTGTGGTGGTAAAATTGGTATTGTCGCTGCAACGAGAACCCTGGACACGGAATAATTTGGCTAGCTGAGCTGTTTTGCTAGGACCGTTAAGAGCTTTATACTCTTCTAGGATGAGACTTTTCTCATGTTGACGACTCTGTTCTTCGACCAGCTTCGACGGCTGTTATAATAGAGCAAACTCAGCAGTTAACCTGAATTTCTGCCGAATCTTATGAAGCTTTTGTTGTTATTGTTATTTTGTTATTTTGCTGTTCGATATCAACCACACTATGAATATCCTTAAACGATACCCAATCCCAAATGCTAGTTTAGAACATTAGAGTGGATGGTTACACAGAGGTGGGTCAAACAGCCGTTTTCATTGGTAAAAGATGTTGACCGAGTTTTTATAGTATAACAACGATGGTGTTCAATCAGAGTTGATTTATTTGCACAAAATAGTGCAAAGGTCCTGAAAGATATTCAATTCAGTGGCATACTACTACTGGAAGAAACATAATACAAAATTTCCATCAAATGTCAATAGATATTCTGCGTTAAAATTACTACAGATTCGGCAATCGCTGCTTACGCGCTATCTAAACTATGCACAATATTTAAATATGTTTGCATGTGAAGATTTCTTAAATTACTATAATTAATAAACAACACTATCCGAGAGGGGCTTTAACAAATTAATTAGGCACACATTTTCCATTAATGACGATATCATTGCATTTGCTTTGGGTCCCGTTTTACAGCAACTGGAGTTGGATTGCTTACAAACAGTTCTGAGAGTGGAAATAATTCGGGATGTGCTCTGGTGAGTATGAGTGTACCATTGTTGGGTTCTTTTCTAGCCTAATATTCACCCATTTGTCTCAAGGGTAAGGAATCATTCTGGTTGTTTTCAGCTTCAAAAACAGGCGGCTGATGTGTGGAGAAGAGGTGGATTCGCTAGCTGTATTTCAAACCCCCCGGTTTCTTTTGGGTTGGATTGGCAAATTATCCCGTATCGTATTACGGTGGATTCTAATGCATTTGACATATTTCCAGAGAATGAACCTTATGTTGAGAAGTATTTTTTTGTAAACACGAACCTAAACACACGTGGTAAACAATGTATGACAGTTACGGGATCAAACTGGTGGATTGAACAAACTGCGCACAGTAAGCAACAAACACAGCAATAACATTGAATTGCGTTAAGATGCACCAATTTTCTTCCGATTTAGTTCGGGCGAAAATAAGGTGTTTGCTCACATATCGTCTTGAGAATAAAGCGCTGAACCATCCATTTAATATTTCCCTGTACTTTATTATTTTTATTGATTTATTACAGATATGATATATGACATTCAAATGTATTACACTGCTCAGCTTGAAACTTTAAATTCATCTGTCTGCAGTACGGTAAGTTACGTGGGATTTATAAGTCTGATCTTGGGGCATATTAAGCCTTTAGTTTCATTAGTATAATATTGTTGTTATGTTTTCGTTCATGTAAGATAATGGGGATAATGTTGACCTACAGCTAATGTGTACAAGTGGTATTTACCTTGTGGTTTTTACCTAGTACTATTTACCTAGTCAATGTTAATAAGTGGCGTTCGTTGTAATTAGCAACAATTTCGTGCCGTTACGTCACTGTTAGCTTTCTTCTAGTGCTGAGTATAACGAGTCAACGTAAAGAGTTTAAGGGAAATCATGCGTGCATTGCTATATGTAACTAGCAATAAAATCTAAGGGTTTAATTTGTAAGAGAAATCTGGAACACATTTGCATATTTCCATGGCTTCATTACTCATACTCGTCCTCTGTAGACACTTGGACTTCTTATTCAGGAAATTCTTAGTTTAAATCAAACAGTGTAACTAAGAGCTTTTGCTGAATTCATTACAAGTAGTAAAGGCAGATACTATGAACCTACTTACCCGGTTGGAAAACTGAGTTTGCTAACGTTTTATGACAAAACTGGGCTACACTTATTAGGAGCAAGTGTGCGTCCGATGCAATAACTCTGGATATGCAACGGTCCGATTAACCGAATTCGATGTTAACCAGCTCCATCATCGAAGTTCCTTTACTGTGAAACTAGAAATGGATAAATGGGTCATGGTGAAAATAATTGCTAAAATGAACGATAATACTTATCACATGACGACGGTCACATAAATTCAAGCGAGGTTAACCAGTTATCTTTTGTCGGTTCATTAGTTAGGTCAATAATACTGTCATTAACATCTTGCTGCTTCCCTCTTTGCTCTCAAGCATTAAACAATTTACTGTTTACAAAGCCTGTGATTCATAAACCATTCTGCGGTATTCTTTGGTGCAGCTCAGCAACTTGACCTATGATACATCACCAATCAGGATTTTGAGGAATTGTTCCAGTAAACCTATGGAAAATTCTGGGAACCAAAGAATGCATCTAATGCAGTTGTCCATACAAATCCTTCCATATAATATGTTACGGTCTGAAAGCGTGTATAAGTCTATCCAATTAATCACCAGAAAGATTAATCCAATGTCGGATCATTGTGTAATTGCTTCTGGTGTGTTGAAAAGTGATTCTGGTCGAACAGTTGGTGAGTTTTAGGAAGATTTGCATTTGACTACTCTAAATGACTCATTATAGCAAGGTGTATGTGCCAAGGACTGCAATTTGTTTGGTCCGAAATGAGGTACAGTGTACCATTAACCATTGTGCAGCTCACACCATTTTGCTTAGCGGGCTGTCAGAACGAAATCTTTGTAAAAAAAAGCAACACGATAGCGGCGCAGTGTTGTACAATTGCAACATTTTGATTAATGTGATAAGTAGGTTAGGAATTAGGAATTTTTACATTAACGTCTAGATTGCCTCCGGTTAATCCAAAATCATGGACATAGTTTACATAAAAATGCTGAGACAAAGAAAACCTAGTTGAATTCCACACCTGACTTGATGCACACCTTTGAAGTGTGTTTCGCTAACAAACAAACTTGTTTCCTATTCAAATAAGCGTCCCCTTTTAGGATTTAGGACATTTCGTTCTGTGCAAACATATCGCAAAATTATTCCAAGAGCAACCAGATTGCTATTAACGAAAGGCCATCCAGATTAGTTAAACGGTAACACTGTTCAACACATTCATTGCTAACCTTAAACCGACGCCTTTTCCAACTGCATCACAAATGTTACAACCGGATTCTTGTCAGCTTAAGGAAACATGTCTAAGATTACAATAAATTTTGTTTTCACACTTTTGCCGCATTGAGATCATCTATCTGCGGTTTGATTCTTGTTCGTCTCCATCATTCATCTCTACTATATCAACGTGATCTGCACCTCCGTAAAAAATATTCGGCAATATTTATTTGGTTACAGTATCAAGATTGTCTATAAACATATGCTTAACGAAGTTCACGAAACGATATTGGCCATCCAAATTGACTTTTATCCCTTGAGTCATGGCCACATGATGATGCTTAACAGCTCGGCTAATAAATCACGTATCATTTCTTACATCTGCCTCAGCCCCGAAGGATCTGTTGCACTAGGTAATGAACACGTTCCTTCATAGGTGTCTATCCGTGAGCACAGAAGTAACTACCCATCTGACTAATTTTTATTATTATGCACAATACCAAGTAGTACATGGTAGAAAATTCATGTGTAATGTGTGCAACCACACCCACACAACCTATGCTTAAGTTAGGTTTTTTAAGCTACACACTAGTCCCCCCCTCTCAAATACTGCAGCAAAAATTACGGTAATGACCAAAATTGTGAGAACTACTGTGCTGTACTTGCAGAGCTTGTTTACTAGATATCCGGTTGCCAAGCACTCAGCTATGCATTATCGAAGGCATTGTAATGAAGTTCAATTCAAACCACTTTGGATTCATTGAATACATGACAGTTTGCTGTTCTGATTTAACCTGCTTCACGTTGCGATCCGCCTACACTGAAACTAAAACATGGCTCAACTCGACAGATTTGCAACAAACTTTAACCCTGAAGACACCAATGGCTAGAACGATATTTTAGGTCCAATTTGCTCATGGCTAAATATTGCTTGCTATACGTGAAAATGTTAGGTCATATGACCATTTCGCAAAATGTAGAAGCATGTTCCTCAGTTACCTTGATCAAAATACCATAAAAGTACATTCACTTAGGAAAAAGCCCTCGATGAGCTGTTCCACAAAGGCTCAAATATACTCATATTTCCAGAACACAGATTTCGCCTCAGGCATCGTTTACTCATATTCCACTTATACCTATCTCTCATATGAAATTATAGAAACATTTGTAAAAATTAAGCTGCGCCACTACAGTCACAGTCTATCACAACAGGAGAAATACACGTGTTATTATTAGAACCCGGCAGGCGAAATGAGCAGGCTCACGAATATAACCCAACAGTCAGATGCAACTGTGTAGCTATAGCAAACAACATAAAGTTAAACAGCCTACACATTGAAACCGAATTAGTGAACTACAGTTTAACTTATCAGTAAAGTCTCATGGTAAGTTTCGGTCGAAAGGTCGTATAACGCATTCGTTACCTTGGTTGTAGACGAGATCAATTAATGATTTATCTCCACAACTTTTGCCAAATATACCAAACGCACCTCCTCCAGAATTAATCCATTACCTTGTGTGATTAAAACCGTGCTTTTGGGAATTTATAAAATGTAAGCCAAATGAGGTTAGTGAAGCAAATTCCCTGTCACTAACCCCGTTGAACGTTTGTGTTGATGCATTGCAGACACCTATTATGGATTTCAACCCTTGTTTAACCACTAACACCATTCCAAACATTTGTAAAGCAGCCATAAATACCATTTCCGGAAAGGGCTTCGCAAAAGTTACGGCCGATTGCAGGCACCGCCGGATTTAACAGGTGATACAGTCCGCTTTTCACTAGCATTTTTAACAGCAATATACAAAGGATGCCAGACAGCTTGCCTATAAGCCAGGACAATTGAGAGCTGATTAGATTGAAAATTACATGATAATGACAGTGTCGGTAAGAAGTTTAGGGTTGCAAACGTGTGATTATTCCGTGCCTGGAGTTAAAGTGGAATATGATACTGCCCCCTGTTTGTCCTGCAGAAAGGTCCTAATCTGACGGGCGGGCATCGCGTGCTGTGAGTTGGGGTTTCTACAGCTTTGTCCGGCTTAAATAACGGCTTTTGATTGCGGGCTCAAGTAGGCGCCATGCGTTTTCGAAAAGACTGATACATCAAACTTCCCGTACGCCATTCACATTGGACAGAATTGCTGACTTGTTTTCATAAACGTTTCTTTACTATGCCTCAAACAACCATTATCTTGCACGAACCGGCCGAGATCGCACTAATGAGAAGTCCACTGAAGAAGCCGTGACTCTAGCTGGTAGTTTTGAGTGCTATGATAGCGTATGCTCAGAACTGTACACGTGGTGATGTTGAAACCCTTCATGTTCAAGGAGGTATATGTGTAGGCTTTATCCAGATAATTTTTGATAGCGTGATGTACAACCGTAGTGATAATACGGTATGTCTTTAGGTGTTCGGTAAAATTATGACAGTAGAAGATATCACTCGCGAAATAATTTGTGAAGACCAAGAACGGACGGGGCCTTCGCACCGAGCCTTGATGTGCGCCGCACTAGATTCTATTGGTTCAGATGTGCTACGAACACTCACACTCAGGCGACGTTGAACGAGTAAGTCACAAATCTAGTCTAAAACGAGACCATCGATTCCATTATGCTGAAGCTTTTGAAGTAGAATGTGACAGTCCATCCTTTCGAATGCTATCGAGAAATCTAGATTAACCGTATGTACTACACCAGCATCTACAGAGTAAGTCCATCATGGACAAGCAATCAACGGATTAGAAGTACGGGACGAGTTAGCAAAGACACAGGCTGACTTTAAATGTAAAGTGCACAATTTACCAGGCACCTATGAGTGTCTCACCAACACTGGACCTTGTTATCTTGGGGACAACCAGGATTAGGGTTATCCGGCAGGATTTCGCTGCTTCTGCACTGCTACAACTCTTGTAGATTTGAAAGATAATCCCGTGCTTCCACCTCGTTGGCACTTGAATCTCGTTTATATATTTTGAACAAGTATTTCTAACACATCAAGTGTACTTACGGCAGCCCCTTTCAACGCCTTCGCGCGAATGCCCTCTGCATCAAACGAG